TCGAGTCTTGTGTGCAGGTTTGGGTGTCACAATTTCAGAAGGACAGTAAGCTATTAGAGAGTGTCCAGAGGATGGAACAAAGATGGTGAAGGGTCTGGAAGGGAAGTCATATGAGGAGCAGCTGAGGTCAGTTGGTCTTTTCAGTCTGGAGGAAACTGAGGGAAGACCTCATTGCAGTTACACAGCTTCCTCATGAGAGGAAGAAGAGGGGCGGACACTGATCTCTTCTCCGCAGTGACCAGTGACAGGACCCAAGGGAATGGACTGAAGTTATCAGGGGAGCTTTAGGCTGGATATTAGACAACAGTTCTTCATCCAGAGTGTGGTTGGGCACTGGAACAGGCTCCCCAAGGAAGTGGTCACAGCATCAAGCCTGACAGACTTCAAGAAGCATGTGAAAGCCTGTGCTCGAGTAGGTGAGTTACTGTCCAAAGAGAGAAGCCCAAACTTCTCAAGACACTAGCTCCTTATTCTGGTGGAATTTCCATGCTGTGGTGTGGTTTTATCCAATTTACCCATTAAAGAAATCACTTATCATCATGTCCTGGTTTAGGGCAAATATGGGAGAAAACCTCCAATGCTCCCCCCCACCCAGGAAGCAAACCCTTTCTCCCACCCCCCAACCGATTCGGGAAGAGATTTCTCTGAGAGAAGTGGAAAAAACCTGTTTATTTAACATACACAGCACTACCCAGCACAAGAATCAACAATATCAAATTACAAAACCTCTCGCCGCTCTGAAGAGATGACAAAATTAAGAGGGTCATTTTCCTGTGGGTGTTCACTCTGTTATCAGTCCCTTTGGCGCTGGAAAATGCCACTGCCCAGGCTGGGCTCCTGGTAGTCCACGGATGCAAGCTCCCGGTGCTCCCCTGAGTCCCCAGTCCAGAGCAGGTTCAATCGGTTTCAAAGAAATGGGAAAGAAAACAGTCCAGGAAGACCTCTCTGCTTCGGCTAGTTGGAAAGCCAAGGCAATCTGTCTCTTCTTGTCTGTCTGTGCTGTAGTCAAAACCCCATCCCGGGATGCAGGTGGGGAGCAAGTACAGTCTCTGATAACAGACTCCGTGCTTCTTTTCCACTCACTTTTACTCTTAGATGAAATTTTAAGAATACAAAACAAATGTCTGGGCTAGGTGGATGAATGGGGATACAATTTAACATCATAATCAAACCAGGACAGGGAGTTAGAAAGAAAGTTAGGCTTGACAAGACCTGGGAAAAGTGTCAAAAGTAGGCCCTAGGAAATGTTAGGCCTTGTGCTTGCTAAGATCATGTGAAACTGCACCTGTGTAGTCAGTATATGATAAATGATATAATTGTTAGATGTTGTTAAGAATAATATGTTACAGTTGCTGTTTGTAAACTCCTTACTTACCTTGTACCCCTGTCCCAGGATATTGTTAAGAATAATACGTTCCAGTTGCTGTTTGTAAACTCCTTACTTACCTTGTACCCCTGTCCCAGGTTTACTTACCCTTGTACCCCTGTCGCAAATTGCTGTACCCCATATTTCTTGTTCCTTGTTCAGCCAGGCCCTGCCCCCTCTCCCAAGTTGCTGTACCCTGTGTTTCTTGTTCTGTGTTCAGCCAGGCACTGCCCACACTGCTCCTAGACTCCCACATGGCAACATTGTATCCCTTTCCCAAGTTGCTGTACCGTTCTGAGGAGGAAGATGACATACTGACTTTTATGCAAACGAGAGAGACCAGAGACTTATGGGATGCACCCAGACTGGAAAAAAACCCAAAACAACGAGCCACGCAGAAGGGAAGGAATAGAACCAGCACCATCTAACAAGGAAGACCCAGAGGAGTCCCCTGACTTCTTTCCAGAGGCCGACATAACCTCGAGGAGACTCGACTGGGATGACAGCCTAGACTACGAGCCTTAAAGAACGAGTCTTCCCGGGGACTCCCGTGAGGAAGGAAGGCCCAGCTCTGCCCTAGTGACAGAGCTGCACGGATCCTCCTCTTCTGCAGTGTCCAGTGGGAGCAGTGGCGGTGTGCGCGACCCCTCGGGCCCCCACCCCAGAGCTGTGCTGCTTAATAAAGGCCTTTTTAAAAGGAGCTGGTCTCCTGGCCTGTTTATAGCAGCTTGGGGGCTTGTCCGGGATAGCCACGCCCTGAAGAGGACCAGGGACGGGACGGCCGCCCACCCTATTGGGCCTCCGGGGGACAGCTGGCTATACCGGACCCAGAACAACAGCCTGGGATCAACATCGGAGAAGAGCGCCGGATTGGGTAAGCCACCGGTGGCGGGAGTAGGAGGCGAGTGAGTGGATGTGTGAGTGAGACGGGGGCTGGCAGCTCAGACCCCCGGGGCGAGTGTGGACTGCCCAGTACCGCGGTTCCGGACTCCCGCGAGGGGGCCGGCCGGGAACGGCAGGAAGCGAAAGAGGCTCACTTGGGCCCAGAGAAACGAGCGAGGTGTCTCCTGGGGATAAAAGCCCCCCCTCTGAGTGCGCAGAGGGGTACCTAAGAGAGTGAGTGGCGCACATAGGGGTAGGCCCCTCTACTGAAAAGGGCTAAACGGCCTAGGCTGCTCCGGGCGTGTGGAAGGCCTAGGTGAGTGAGAGTCACACGCAGGCAATCTAGGTAACTCCCGGGGTGGTGTGTGGGGGTGCCTAGGTTCGGTGTGAGTGAACACACCCCCCCCGCTTGGGTACTCAGACGACCTGACCGGGGAATTGGAATTGGGGGTCCCCAAGCCCTACCGGCACCAGGTGGTCAGCGAAGGGCCCTCGCTTCCCAGGGTCTGTGACACAGGACGTGCTGAAAGGCTCTAGTTGTCGCGGCTCAGTCTCGGCTCAGGGGGTTCCTGAGAAGGGAGGTCGTCAACCTGCTGCCGGAGAGCACAGGGGCAGGTAGTCTGCGCGGGCGGGCGAGGCAGCTAGAGTAATACACTCACGCATCCCTTAGCCGAAGCCATTCCCTGGTGGGCGGAGCGGCTAGGAGGCAAGGGGGAATTCTCCCACCACTCACTTACAGTCAGCCCTCGCGCAGAAGCTATTCTCACTGGGGAAGGGGGATAGTCAGGGAGCGGAGGGGCAGGGGGTTCCGGGGTGAGCCCTGCTGACCAAATCTTGTGGACGGCACTGAGACAGGGACAGGGGAAGGTCCCAGGAGCGTCTAGTGCTAGGGTCCCCTCGACGTCGACCCAGGAGTGCTCATAGTCTTCGCTGGCAAAGGGGTCAGGGAGGCGAGGCGCGAGGGGAACGGGATTGGGGTGTAGGGAGGGGCAAGCGGAACCTGCAAGCCCCGCTGGGACCTAACCCCGGGGGCAAGCGGAGACTGCAAGCCCCAGAAAATTCAAAGTGTGAGTGGAAGGCCGGCCGAATGTAAGAAAGGGTGTGGATTCCTGTGTGAGAAGATTGAGTGTATTCCCTAGTGTGAAAGGAGAGAGAGTGAGTTCCTAGAGTGTGAGTTTTTGTTGAGGTTTGAAAGGTCAGTCGTCTGTCATTAGAAATTTTTAGTTTGAGTAGGAGTACCTTTATAAAGTTTAAGTAAGGGCCAGTTTTAAGTTAGAGGTTGTGTTGTTTGTCAGTTCCAGTTTTGTTCAGGAAAAGGCACCGTAAGTTTTAAGTGAAGGTCCAGAGATAGGAGGAGCAATGAGACAGTGTTTAAGTAAGAGAGTAGGTCCCAAGGGGAATGAAGAGGCCACCAGAACCATTCCCCCCGATAGCCCACTAGGGCAAATGTTAAATTGCTGGGATGCACAAGAGGCCACCAAGGGCCTAGACCGGATCAAGATGATCCATTACTGTATAGAGGTCTGGCCCAAACTAGAGATGCAAGGACAGTGGCCTTGGTATGGTACTAAAGATCCTTGGATGTGCTCCCAACTGTACCAGCATCTGAAAACCAGAAGAGGAACTGAGCCCAGAGAGAGTATCAGACATTCTAGCCATACCTGCACCAAAAACAAAGAGGGACATAAGAAAACTCTTAAGCCTTTTTAGATATTGTAAACTATGGATAGAACAATATACCCAGAGCGTCAAGTTTCTTTATGAAAAGCTGGTTGATATGTGAACCCATAAAGTGGACAGCTGAAGATGAAGCGCAATTAAATCAGCTGAAGGTTAAGCTGTCCTCAGCACCAGTTTTAAGCCTGCCTGACTTAAAAAAAAGAATTTGATTTGTTTGTCAACTCTGAAGAAGGGACTGCATATGAGATTCTGACCCAGGAATGGGGAGGATGTTGTAAGCCCATAGCCTGTCAGTCCAAACTGCTGGACCCAGTAGCTCGTGGGTGGCCCACCTGCGTGCAATCAATAGCTGCTGCTGCCATTTTAATAGAAGAGGCCCAAAAGCTAACCCTACAGGGTAAGATCAGAGTCCACACACCACATGATTTAAAAACAATCTTGAGCCGAAAGGCTCAGCAGTGGCTGACAGATGCCAGGATATTAAAATATGAAGTCATCCTAATGGATACTAGCAATTTGGAGCTAGTAACCTCCAAGGGCCTGAACCCGGCACAATTTTTGTCAGGGGAGCCTCTGCCTGAATTAGAACATGACTGCTTAGAATTGGTAAATCTCCAAACCAAAGTGAGGGAGGATCTGGGAGATGTACCCCTGCCCTATGGGAAGGTACTATTTACTGATGGTTCATCCAGGGTGGTGGAGGGGAAAAGATATTCAGGGTATGCAGTGGTCATAGAGGTAGGGGAAGGAAAACTAGAGGTCCTAGAAAAAGGGAGACTACCCCCCAGTTGGTCAGCTCAGTGCTGTGAGGTTCATGCTCTAAAGAGGGGTCTGGACTTGCTAGAGAGAGAAAAAGGAACCATCTATACAGATTCAAAGTATGCCTTTGGGATAGTCCATACCTTTGGTAAGATCTGGGAGGAGAGAGGCTACCTGAACTCCAAAGGGAAGAACCTGGCACATGAAGGGCTGATTAAATCAGTATTAGAGTCCTTGACCAAACCCACAGAGATTGCAGTGGTCCACATGAAGGGGCATCAGAAGGGAGACTCCTTAGAAAGCAGCCCCCAGGTAACGGTGGCCGGAACAGCATGGCCGCCCCCGAGCTGCGCACGCCGGGCGCCACCGGGACGCACTTGGCACAGGAAGCGCTGGGCAACTCACCGGGGAAAAGGCGACCTGCTCTCGCTTCCTTCTCCGCCTTCAGCTTCGTCCCGCCCAAACGGGAAGGTCCTCCGGAGCTCAGCTATTTCAGCCGGCCGTACAAGGTAAGGGAGTGAAGGGAGCGAGCCGGGGGTAGGCGGGGAGCAGCGCAGGGCGAAGGGACAAGCTTTCGCCGTGGATTTCTGCGCAGTGTTAGACCATCTGCCTGGACCCGGTGCAAAGGCTTGGCCTTCATCATGAGGGACCTGATAAGACATGTGCCAAAAATCATCACAGCATCACAGAATGGTTTGAGTTGTAAGTGACCTTAAAGATCATCCAGTTCCACCCTCCTGCCATGGGCAGGGATACCTTCCACTGGACCAGGCTGGTCAAAGGTCCATCCAACCTGGTCTTGAACATCTCCAGGGATTGGACATCCACAACTTCTCTGGGCAACCTGTTCTAGTGCTTCACCACACTCGCAGTGAAGAATTTTTTTCTGACAGAAATGTGGCACATAAATCTCTGTCACTAGGCTGTCTAATGCCAAAATCAGAGGCCTTTGCAAAGTGTTTGCCACTTGTGGATGGCAAATGAAGGAAAGGTCTTTTACTGGATAACAGGAGAAGGCAGAGACATTGTTTGCCAGGGACTGAGGATGAACAGGCCACTTGGTATCAATGAAATGTGAGGAAATTAGGAAATAAAAAAAACAAACCTAGGGAGGGTATCATCCATCACTAGGGTTTGATGCAGCACCAGCGGATTTTGTTGTAACACACACTCTTGGGAACCCTTTAATAATAAACTTTTCCATTTTCATTTGAAGGAAAATATTTTCCCTGTGCATTGCATAAATTTTCCACACGGTCAGATTTAATAAAAATCAATAGAGCTACTCAAAACAATAACATCAATATATGCCTCTGTAACTGAATGCTTCTGAAGGTGGTACACTGCCACTCAGTAAGTAGTACCTCAGGTGTTCTGGCAGGGAGCGTCACTCCTCAGTCTACTGCATTATGTCACCATTGTTTCTCATTCTGTCGTCATATTTAAAAACAGTAATGAAAACAATCTTACATCTTCTTCCTCAGCTGAACTACAGTTCCAGGGTGGTGAACTTTTCAATGTAGTGTCATATGCGACTTTGAAGTTTAACAATGGCTGATAGAGTTGAAGGGCATTAAAGGCTTTTTTCTCAAAACAAAAAATTAGTATAAAAAAGTTCTGAAATTCCTGTTATGTCAATATAACATAACAATGCTATGACAATTTATATCAATAAATACAACCCATGAATCTTCTCCTCACCCAAGTGACAAGCTGGTGAATGCACCAAGCACTGGGCAGTTTGTGTTGATTCCAGCATTACCTTGGCAAGGTGATCTAACACAAAGGTGATCAGGTACAGCTGGTGCCATGCTTCACAAAACAGTAGGGAGACCACAACAAGAGTAAGGCAAGGGCAGGTCAGAGGGTGCTCTTGGGGCTGGTGGAGCTCATTAGTCTACACAGAATTAGCAGCCATATGGTAGAGCTTTTCCTTACAATATAGTCTGGTTTTACACTCACAACAGCCTGGTTTGTGAAAAATTATGCTCCAGTGGCATGGAAACAAAAAATGGTAACAGCTGTTTAATAGGTTTCTTCACAGCCCCAGGCCTTGGACACTGGGGAGGAAGCAGATTCAGCCCATTCTTTTGCACAATTTAGGAATTAGATAATATTTTTATTTATAGAGCAAAAGGAGTCTCATTCCTTTTTGCAGCTTAAATACCTAAAACTAACAATGTATCAGACACTGAAGCACAGAGAAGTAGGAAGAAGATGGGCTCATCGCATGGCCAGAAGCCAGAAATTCCTGCCTTTTAATCCCTTAGCTGGCAGTTGCTCCCTGGGATGCTTTACATAAGTTATTGTAGCCAGTGTGCCTGGTGTTTCCTCTTCTGAGATGTGGAGAAAGCTATTACCAATTTTACATGTGTCTGGAATACTAATGAATGAATAAAGCATTTAGCTTTAGCAGCAGTACACAGAGGATGCCTGCCCTGAGTGCACATTTATCATCAGGTCTGTGTGACTCACTTGCTCTGATGGGTTTAAGAAACAGCTCACCACCACCACCACCACCCAGGCCAACCAAGTTATAATTTACAACAAAGAGAAACAGCAGCAGAAAGTTACCAGTATATTGAGCAAAGAAGTGTTGTCTCTACAAATCTGGCAGAAAATCTTAAATATGTATTTAGGACAGGGCTTGTTTTTGATATAACAGGCTGGCTGACTATCTGTGAGTTCTGGAAAGGATGAATTATTTGCTCTGACATGAGCAACAAAAGACACTCTTGCTCTGAAATGAGTAATAAATAGTGTCACGAGTACCAGCAAAGAGCAAATAACATTTCTGGTGGTGAGTACAAATTAAATACCTACCTAATGAAACTGGTATCATGGAGAGGAAAGGAGAAGGAGGAAAGGAGAAGCAAGGAAGCACAGAAATAATGATGGAGATGACAAATCATGTGCAGGGTACTCTTGAAAGTGTCTGAAATCCTCTGAAGCTCAATGGTTTTTGAGAAGTGAACGGATAGATAGGTTAAATACAAAATAATCTCTCCTCTTGGCCAAACCAAGTATTGGAGATACCTTTACAAATAAAGCCTGAAGCTTTTATTTGTAAGACAGCAGTGTCTTACTAGTGCCCTTAGCCATGCTTTCTTTTTAATGGAATCATTATAACCTTGACCTGCCATGACTTGACTATATTTGGAGAATACCACTGTTATTTGAAAGACTCAAAGTACATGAGATTTTCAAAGGTTAAATTTGACACACTGTACAATTAGAGGAGAAAAAAGCCCAACAAAATTCTTTTAGACAGCCATGCCCAAAGCCAATGATGATTGACAGGTTTAACAGAATATGGACCTTTTCATGAAGTTCAGTAACAACTGGCAGCATATTTCAGTAGTGAATTTTGGTTTTTTCCTTTGAAATTTTTTTTTTGTTTTGAAATTGCTTTGATTCAATTTATGAGAACTTCCTGGTTGGATTTCACAAACACCTTTATTAGAAGAGCAGGTCTTTTATCTTGCTTATTTGGATGCAAACTATGTCAACAGTTGAGCAACTGTATTATGGCTTGGAGTGTGCTTTATTTTCTTGCCTGATATATGTGTGTCATGCATTCCACAGGATCACAGGATTTCCGCTGTGGCAGATTTCTCAATTCTGCTGTAATCAGAAATTAAATTCTGTTTACACTGCAGGGTACCTTTGTCTTTTTTAAAGTTCCTGTTTTGCTTTTACATAATTGTGCCAGATCATTTGACAAATACACAAATTTAGGAAGGAGAATATTAAGTGCAGAAAATTAAAACATATCAGTTAAATTTCCAAAATTACAGCAGATTACAGGAGGGAAAAAATGAAGTAAATTAGTAAATTGCCACAAGGGAAATTTCAGAGCTGAATGAACTTAATAAATGATACCATATGTCATTAGGTATCTTGCAAACTAGTCAAAAGGATTGGCCCAAACTTCCTGAGGTCGCCAATATTACAGTTATCATCTAATGTAATATATGCACTATTTAGGTATTGATTTGACTACATGTATTCTGTAATCTGTAAAGTAAAGCAATTCTGTGAATTGTATAATAAAAAAAATAGCCATTTTTTTTCCCCTTTTTCCAAGACAGGAGATTTTTTCACCTATGATGCCATTTTTAGAATACCAGAAGATTACAACCAATATCTTCTGCGATGTGACAGAAAACACACAAAGGGTCGTGGCCTTAAAATTCATGAGGAGGTAATTCTTTGAAAAATTCATAATTATCTTTGTTTAAGGTGTTTTGTACTTCTTTGACATGACTGGAGGCTATAGGCATTGATTTACCCTTTATAATGTAGCCCCTATGGTAAGAAAGGAACTGGAAGGAGGATATCATTGTGCTCAGCCTGCATGTTTAGGAGAAAGCATTATCCCATGAAAACACTATATTTATCTCTTGCACTTTCATATCCTGAAGATTTCCAGGTGACAAGATGTATGCAAATTAAAGCAAGGAGGAAGAGGCAAATCATCTCTTCAGGGTGTACCCTGAACCATTTGTGCACCTCAAGAGTTGTACTTTAGGTGGTTCTGCAGTTATTTTTGTGATGCTTAAAAACACATCTCCCTGAGAGGACTGGATTCAGAGGCCATGACTTCACTACTGTCCTTTAGCCCCCACCCTCTCTATGCCAGCATTTGCTGTGAAAGTCTAAGTCTCTGAAGCTGGTGAGTTTGTTAGGAAAACCTACACCAGATTGCCCTGAAGGAAGGAAATTCATAGGAAGCAAATGTAAAGGTGTGGTCAATGAGAACACATGGGCATCCCTGCGCAAGTGTCCTGGTTTAGGGCAAATTTGAGAGAAAACCTCCAAATGAGGTCCCTCCAGAAAGCAAATTTAAGCAGCTCCTCCCCCAACTGGTTTGGTAAAAAGATTTCTTTGGAGAAAAATAGAAAAAAAACCCTGTTTATTAAACAGAAATTGAATATTATAAAACAATGAAACCTCTCACTGTTCAATGAGATGGCAAATCTAGAAAAGTCCTTTACAAGGGGTGTAGCTTGGCTGGCTCAGTCTCTTATCAGTCCCTCCAGCGCTGGAAAGTGCTGAGGCCCAGGCCCCAGGTGTGAGCTCCCAGGGTTTTTCTAGGTTTTCAGTCCAGAGCAGGTTTGAACAGATCCAAGAAAAAAGGGGAAAAAAAAAACCAGTCCGGGGAACTTCTCTGCCTCAGCTAGCTGAAAACTAAAAGTAAAGGAGATCTCTGTCCTGCTGTCTGTTCATGTTGCTGCAAACAACACAGTCCAGAGAAGCATGTGGGAGAGTGAATGGTGCACTTCTTCTTTCCCCACCTTTGCTCTTGGAACCAGTCTTAAAGGTGCAGAACTTAATATGTAACATAAACAGAAGAGGCAACTGGGGATACAAGCATCATAAAGTCACCCCAGGACAGCAAGTATTTGAAGCCAGCAGAATCTGGGTTTGATGTGCAACCCAATTTGTAAATACTGCCCTGGAAACAGAAATACTATAATATATATGTATAAATGTGTGTTTATTTTTGCATGCAGCATCTGAATAATACACATATATACAAGTGTCTATATATATAATTATATTTATACATACACACACAAAATTGCACATAGAGGCAGAGGCTGTCAAAAACCAAATGAAGTGTAACCTCTGTGTACTAATAACCTCAAAATCCCAATGGGTTCATGGGATGTAAAAGTGATGGGTAGGCTAGGGATGGCTGCCCACTTTGATGGTTATATATGATAGAGAAGGAAGAATGATACAAGAGTTCAGATTACTCTAATTCCTTCGCAATAAAATTGTTTTGTTCTGACAAAGTCCACTGGTTGAGATTTGTCTCACTAGCAGTTATATATGCCAGGCATTTCAGTCCAAGTGTGTAGCTATAATGCCCTTCAACTCTATCAGACAGTGCAGGAAGTATTAGATGCTCCCAAAGGAATCCTGGGAGTGCCCATTAGCATCATCTGCTCATGCCTAAAAACTGCAAATCTGTGTATGTATGTAAATTATTACTCAAATTAGAAATTAAACTCCTAATTTAAAAAAAAAAACAACAAAAAACAAAGACAACCTCTCTTCCCTAGTACCAAGCCCAACCTCCAAGAGAGATATCTGTGTACAGATAAAGTTCATCAATATAAAGTTACAGCTTTTTACTGAGTTCTTGTATCAACAAAACTCACTTTTCTATCAGTTTTCTTCCTAGAGCAAACTTGTATGGGCCAGAATTCATACCAGCTCTGCTGGGCAGTGCACAAAAGGGACTGTGCAAATAGATGTCCCTTAATCCAGCCCTTTAAACAGCATGGGGACACATCAAACCCACAGCTGCTTAATACTACAACATGATCCTCCTGCATGTGATGACACCCAACACTGGATGTAACCAGTGCAGGTCACATACTCAATTTCTCTTTAATTATCACAGTAGGTCTCTCAGGCTTTATATAATAATAACTAAACTATAAAATATAATAAATAAAAGTACTACAATTGACATCTTTCTAGTACAACACGGAAAGCAGACAGACTGAACACACCACAGTACACTGCTTTACTTGAAGTGGAAAAAAACAAACCTCATTTCCTGCAGATAGCCTGGGTACACTCACAGAATTCAAGAGTACAGTGACAGGTATGGAGTTTAGCTACATGTAGCTGAGTAACTGCAGTGGAATGCATGCACAGGGCTGCCATTGCTGATTCCAAGTGCTAACAGTGCTAGAATTGCATGCTGTGAGGGTGGATAGCAGGACGCTTCCCAGACAACTGTTGGAAAATCTGAAACCCACTGAATGCCAAACCCACAAAGATGAAATGCCTGTGTGCCTAGTCAGCACTGGGCTACCAAGGATGCTGAAAACTGAATCTTCTTTATTTAAAAGGAACACAAACTATTGGAATTATATACTGCTGCCTGTCATTAGTACTGTAAATCCTGAATTTCTAGCAAAGTCTTTCTTCATGGTACAAAGATTTTTTTAGTTTCTCATTTTTCAACATTTATCCGCAATTAGGGCAGAAGAGGAAATGGTCTTAATTTTTCCTGTCAGTCCTCTTGACTTGATTTTCATTCTGCTGGGGTTAAAAGTTGGTGTACTGAATAGCTTTTAATAGGGTGGAGTAAGGTGGGTAGGAGAGCTGGGAGATAAATGTTTTGAAATGAGCTTTTCTGTCGTTCCGGTTGGGAACGGCTAGGAAGAACGACACGGGACTCTCAAGGGAATCACAACACGAGAATTTCTTAGTTTATTGCTTCAGCTCTGTCTTATAGACAGATACGTGGAAAGGTACAGAAAAGAAACTCTTATTGGTTAACAAAGTGCTACATCACCATCATTGGTCAGGGGCACTTTGCCCCCCTGACTCTGTCCTTCAAGGAGAAACAAGAGGCTGCAAAACAACACCTGCAAGGCTGTTTAGTGTCCCTGAGAATTGTTTTAATTCCTTCTCATGAATTTCCCAGGATACTTTCTCAGGCAGCTTGAGGAGCCATGCGGCCTGCAATTTGTACAGGCACTGTGGTTCAGATTTAGCATCCATAATTCACCCTTTTCTGTTAGAAAAAATAAAAAAGCAGTGTTTGTTATATTCTACTGGGTCCTTGTAGGATAAAGAACAAACACAGCTCAAGAGGTTTCTTTGCTAGAACTTTGAATGGATGCTGATCTAGAATTAATTTAGAATTTTGGCTTATGTTTTGGTATTTAAGATTTGTTCTCCTTGCAAGGACTTGATGGTTGAGTCTAATATTTCTAATTCAGTGAATTAATACACACACTATACGAAACACTATATACAACATTGTTAGTCTGTTTGAATTGACAGTCTAACTTGTCAATAGAGTAGTTTGAAAGAACACTAAAGTGATAAAACAATGCACAATGCAATTTATGCTGCTTTGATCCCCTCTTCTTATCCCGCTTTTTTTTTTTTTTTTTTTTTTTTTTTTTTCCACTGGATTTTCTCTTTAAATATGATTGAGGGGTTTTTGAGGGATTTATAAAGTTTACATGGCTGCTGTTATTGTTCATCGGGTTTGAACCGTAGTTCATGAATTTCAGGAAAGTCAGGGAACTCGAAGTTACCATCTCTTCGCGGTTGGCTGTCAGTTCTGTAAACACAAGACTTAAAAGGTACAAACTGAGTGAGTAAGTTTGGGTCCCGCAGGGGTTGCAGGACTTTGGCTTGGCTCAGGCCGCTGGAGGGCTTGTTGAGGTATTTCTTTGGGTTGGTGCAGAAGGACCCGGCAGAGACCTGCCGCTGTCTTTCTTTCCCCCCGCCACCTTTATGGGTGCGGGGGGGCCGCTGCTAGAGCTCAGATCGGGAACGCAGCACGACAAGCGCTCTCTCTCCCTCCCGCGCCTCCCCGCTGGAGCGCGGGGGGAGCGCAAGGGTGAGCCTGGGCTCTCCCCTCTCCACCCCCCGCCGCTTCTCCGCCTGCACTTCGCGCGGCACAGAAGGAAGAAGCTCGGACAGCGCGGAGGGGCTGGAGAAAGGAGGGTCTGCGGTGGCTGGCGGTGGCGCTTTTTCCTCGCTGCGCTGGCAGGCCCCGCGGGTGGCTGTGAGGGCACTGTTCCTCCCGCCGCACACACGGGGGGTTTCTCGCTGCCGGCCGGCACCGGAGGGCTCGGATGGTCTCCCGAGCCGTGGCCGGCGGCGGCGGGCAGCGTCTTGAGCTGACTTTTTCTTCTTTTTTCTCCATTTATTCTCTTGTTTTTTTCTCGCTGCTGCCGCCGCTGTGACTCTGCGGGCGGCAGCGGCGGCGCGTCTGTGTGCTCGGGTTTCTCGGCGGCTGGCGGCTGCAGCTCGGGCGGCTGCTCGGGCCTTCTGGCGGTGGTGGGTTGACGCAGGGGGAGCGAGGTTTCTGTTTCCCCTCCCCCCGCCGCTCTTCTGCCAGGGGCAGCCGCGCGCCCCGCCGCATTGGTACACG